GGTTCTAATTCCGGATGCCCCACTTCCCATCCAGCTCCCTACTTGTGGCCTGGGAAAGCAGTCAAGGACCACCCAAAGCCTTGGGACCCTGCACCTGTGTGGGAGACCTGCAGGAAGTTCCTGGCTCCTAGCTCCTGGCTCCTGGCTTCGGATTGGCACAGCACCAGCCGTTGCAGTCACTTGGCAAATGAATCATTGGATGGAAGATCTTCCTCTCTGTTTCTCCTCCTCTCTGTATATCCAACTTTCCAATAAAAATAAATAAATCTTTAAAAAAATAATAATAAAATAAATAAAATGGGGTTGGCATTGTGGCACAGCCTGGTCCAAGGCTGTCTGAACCTCTGAGGAGGCTCAGCCTTGACACTTGCACTCCATGGTCAGACCATAGAACCTTGCACTTGTCTTCATGGTTGGGGTTCTGAGTCCAGCAGTTCGATTGGGGAGATCCCCAAAGAAACTTTGTCTGAGGTGATTCCAAAACAGATTCTTAAGTGTGCTTGCCAGTGCAGGGCCCAGCACAGTCCATTGCCCCAATCAGCTGGTGGTTGCAACTGCTGAATCAGTTCTGCTTCCAGCCCTGTCTTCCACATGAACCAATGGGTGTTGCAATTCAGCCTGATTTTGTCCACTTCACACTCGGTCCTTATGCAAACCGGTGGGAGCTGCAGCCTAGTTGGGGTGACTCCCAATAACCCCCACCAGACCCATCCTCTGCCCTGGTTACCATGCTTGCCAGTGTATACACAAATTTGTTCAGTCTGTCCCACATTCCATTCAGCTCTCATACATGTCAGTGGGCACTGAAGCCTAGTTCAACCCAAACAGGCCTACTATCCAGCCCACACACATGCTGATGGGTGCCATTCTGTCTAGCCAGGTCTGCCTCAGTCCTGGTTTTCATGCCCTTTAGTGGGAATTGATAACCCAAGAGGGAGGTGCCCACTATTTCCCTCCCAGGCCTCTCCCACTCCTGGATCATGTACTTTCCAGGTGGTTCTGCAGTTTAACTTGACAGAATTAGCTCCCATTGCCAGCATCTGCCAGCTGCTGCTGCGGCAAAGCCCAACCAACCCTCACCAATTCTAATTTCTGCCTGCACCAGTAAGGTCAGTCAGTCATGTCTGGCTCTTCCCTGATCTGGCCCACTTGAGGCCCACAGGTGGGTTTTTTGTTTGTTTGTTTTTAAATTTATTTTTATTATTTTTTATTGGAAAGGCAGATATACAGAGAGGAAGATCTTCCATCCGATGATTCACTCCCCAAGTGAGCGCAACGGCCGGTGCTATGCTGATCCGAAGCCAGGAGCCTCTTCCGGGTCTCCCACACGGGTGCAGGGTCCCAAAGCTTTGGGCCGTCCTCGACTGCTTTCCTGGGCCACAGGCAGGGAGCTGGAAGGGAAGCGGGGCTGCCGGGATAGAACCGGCGCCCATATGGGATCCCGGGCGTGCAAGGCGAGGACCTTAACCACTGCGCCACCACTCTGGGCCCAAGGCCCACAGGTATTGTAGACCTGCCTGGTCTGGTATGCCCCCATCCCAACTCACGCTCACCAGTGGGAGTGGTATTCCAGCAGGGGGCCCTGGACATTCTCCTTACCAGCTTAACCCCCTCCCTCCATGGTCTTCACGTGTGCTGGTTGGGCGCTGCGGCCCAGGCTGGCATGGTCACCCCTCGCCTCAGCTTTTGCCAGTGGCTGCTGTGGCTGACCCGACCCAGCCCACCCTCAATTCCAGCTGACACTGGTGAGAATTACAGTCTAGGCATCATTTTCTTCAAGAACATTCTTGATTTTCTTTTTTGTTTTCTTCAGCGACACATTGGTCAATCAGTAGCATGTTATTTAACTTCATGGTGTTGTTAATTTCTTTTTTTTTTTCTTCCTGTTGTTTATTTTGTTTTGTGGTTTTTCATTTAAGGGGATGTATAGTAACTGTGTAATGGAGACTATCATATCTAGATGTGAGGATACAATGCAGCATGCATCTGTACTTCCAGACCAAGATGGACTCCCAATGAAATTGTTTACTATATCTTGACAACAGGACGCTAGACTCTCTTCCATTGTCCCTGCCCACAATGATGGACATATGACTGTGTATTAAGAACTATACAATAATAATACTATAGGGTCTCCCACGCGGGTTCAGGGTCCCAAGGCTTTGGGCCATCCTTGACTGCTTTCCCAGGCCACAAGCAGGGAGCTGGATGGGAAGCAGGGCTGCCGAGACATGAACCAATGCCCACATGGAATCCCGGCACGTTCAAAGTGAGGACTTGAGCCATTAGGCCATGGCACCAAGCCCTTTCTATTGCTTTCTCAGACCATAAGCAGAAAGCTGAATGAGAAGTGGACCAGCTGGGACATGAATCAGTGCCCATATGGATGCTGGCACCATAGCGGAGAGTGTTAGCCTGCTAAGCCACCATGCTGGCCCCAGGGAAATAACTTTATACAGTTAGTGTCAATCCATTAAATTGCAATCACTGAGACACTGCTTAACAGTATTTCTACTAATGGGATAGCATAGGAGATGTATGACCGAGCAATTATGACAGCCACATTCCCTATCTGTGCACCTGCATTTAATTCCTGGCTAAGGCTCCTTACTCTGGTTTCTTGGCAACAGAGATGCTGAAAGGCAGCAGTGATGGTGTGAGTACGTGCATTTCTGCCATTCACATGAGAGACACAGATTGGGTTGTTGGCTCCCAGCATTTGTCTCTGCCCAGTGCTGGCCATCAGAGCCTTTTGGTGAGTGTACTGATAGATGGCAGTCTGTTCTCTCTGCTTGTCTCTGCCTTTCAAATAAACAACACATTAGAAAGTTAAAGAGACAGTACCATAAATTTCAAAGATACATATGTACAGTGTGGCACACCAGGTTCAGCCACTGCCTGGAATGTCAGCATTCCCTCTGAGTGGCTGCTCCACTTCTGATCCTGCTTCCTTCTACTGTAGCTGGGGAGGCAGCCAACAATGGCCTATGTGCTTGGTCCATTGCTACCCACATGGAAGACCTGGATAGAGTTCCTGCCTTCTGGCTTGATGCTGCCGTTTGCGAAGGGAACCAGCCAATGGAAAATCTTTCAGTCTCTCCCTCCTTCTCCTTCTTTCTCTCTCCATAACAGCCTTTCAAATAAACATATCCTTTTAAAAATACATATTTATTTTTTCATTTATTTGAAAGGTAGAGTCACATAAGGAAATAAGGAGAAACAGAGATCTTCCATCCACTGGTTACTACCCCTGTATGGCCACAATCGACCTCCAATTGCCAGGTCTAGGCCAGGACAATGACAGGAGCCTGGAGCTTCTCCCAGGTCTCCCGTGTAATGCAACATCCCACAGGTTATGTCATTCCTCGTCTTTCCAGACACTTACGCAAGCAGCTTGGTCAGAAACAGAGCGGCTCGCAAATGAACTGACACCCATACGACATGCTAGTACAGCACACAGGTGGTGGTTTAACCTGCTATGTTATAACACTGATCCAAATAAATCGCTATTTAAAAAAAAAAAAAGAAAAGAAAATAGCAGCTGGCATGGTTGTACAACAGGCTGATCCTCTTCCCCATAGCGCCTGCATTCCCATACAGATGCTAGTTTGTACCCAGCTGCTCTACTTTTGACCCAACTCTCTGCCTGTGGTCTGGGAAATCAGCTGAGGATGACCCTGCATCCACTCAGGAGACCCACAAGTTGTTTCTGGCTCCCAGCTCTGGATCAGCTCAGCTCTGGCCATGGTGATTGTTTGAGGAGTGACCTAGAGGACATAAGACCTTTCTGTAGCTCTCTCCTCTCTGTCAAATCTGCCTTTCAAATGAAAAATAAATCTTAAAAAAAAATTAGAAGCAACTTACATGCCCATGAATTGAAGTTGACTGAATAAATCAACCCCAGCTGAATACTATACAACATAAAAACGTGACCTAGATTCCCACATACCGTGCAGGGAATGCATTACAATATTGCTAAGTAGGGGCTGGCATTGCAGGCCAGTGGGTTGTACTGCTGTTTTGTGGTTCTAGTGTCTGATGTGCCAGTTGGAGTTCCAGTTGCTCTGCCTCTGATGGAGCCTTCTTTCCATGTGCCTGGGAAAGCAGATGACGGCCGACACTTGCATCCCTGCCACGCGCAGGGGAGAGCCAGCCGGAGGGCCCGGCTCCTGACTTAAGTCTGGCAAGGCCCTAGCTATCACAGCTATTGCAGCCATCTGGGGAGCAAATGCAGAAACGCAAGATTCTCCTCCCAACCCAGAACGCATCATGCTGCCTTTTGAAAAAAAAATTTTTTTTTAATATTGTTAAGTTAAAAACAAACTGCCAAACAGTAAAATCACAACTGTATATATACAGATTCTAATAACATAGGCATACACACAGAAAAATTAGGCAATAGCAAGAAAGAAAAGAAAAAGATAAAAAGCAACAATGATCATGGTGTAGGGATGGAAACTCCACGGAAGCAGTATGTTCTTCACGTTTTCAAGTTTTGTCTTTAAACTGTGCACAAAAAAACATCTATTTTCTTTTTCTCTTTGCTTAGAACATCTATTTCTCAGTTACTAAAGCAACTTTATTACTCAATAATTTTAATAATTAGAGTAATAAAACTGACACATAGCATAACAGATCCTCAAAACTGGGCATTTAACCTCGAATCCAATTCCCCTACTTAGCAATCATAACTATATTTGAACTCATAACTATATTTGAACTCCTTTAAAATCTCTTCCTATTTTCAGTTTTTTATAGACAGAAGCCAAGGCAATGGGGCACGAGAAAATTCAAGCACTCTAACAAGGTAACGTGATCGCGTCCGTAGTTTGCAGATGGACACCTGGCGATTAGAGTTGCCGGAAAGGCGATCAGGGCGACCTTCAGTGGGAGCTCGTCACCACCGCGCCTAGGTAACCAGGGACGCCGCGCCACGGCCTGCCCCAAGCCGCCAATCAGCAGTGACGCTGCACCCAGACGCTGCGCCGTGACCTCAAGGCAAGATGGCTGCGCCCGGCGGCTTTTCCCTCGTCTAGGGGCTTAGTGCCTCGCCCGAGTCAGGCTCCAAGTCAGGCAGCGTATCACGCTTACTTCCAGAATGTTCTCAGTCCGAGGCTGCGGCCGCTGCATCGCCGCGTCCCTCAGCAAACATCCCCTTCCGTTGGCCCAGTTCAGCGCCGGCAGCGCGACTCCCCGGACTCGGCACTTCGACGTGGTCGTCATCGGTGGAGGCCATGCCGGTACCGAGGCCGCCGCCGCCGCGGCTCGGTGCGGCTCCCGCACTCTGCTGCTCACGCACCGCGTGGATACGATCGGTGAGGAGCACGGGTGGGTGCTGCTTGGCTTGGGGCTGCCAGTGCCGGCGCCCGGTGGGGTGACCTGCTCGCTCCCCAGCCCTGTGGTGGCTCCGGGGATCAGGCGGGTAACCGGGCTGGTGACGGAGCTGGCGGCGAAGCTTCTTAGTGTGCTGGTGCTCTGCCTTTCTGCTGCCTTGTTGCTTTTCGAAAACACATGCTACTCACTGCGTCCTGTATTCCTCAGGTTCCCTCCCAACCCTCTCAAGACTCGATGGTGCTTTTTTGTGTTTTGTTTGCTCTTAATTAATGGTGGACACCCGTAAATTAAAGCAAGACCACTCTCTAGCATGACAGGTGCTAGCTTAAACATCAGCGTGTAAGTTGTGCATGTTGTCTTTGGTCACTGCTCGTTTGCTTAGGGATGTTGGCGTTGTGTTGTAATAATTTTCAATGCCGAAAAATTTTTAAATGAGCACTCAGTTCCTAGCTGTGTGGGAATATACACTGTAGGCAGTGACTTTGTTTGGGTGAGAAGGCAGTATGCATACCGGGAAAATTGCACTGTTTTAATACTCATCTTAGTGTGTGCCTTAAAAAAAAAAGACTTGCACTACCTTTGTACTAAAATAGAAACAACCCAATGAACAAAGAAAGTACTAAAGGACTAAGCTCATCATTAAATGCCGTGAGAAATAACATTCTGTCAAACATAAATCAAACATCAAAACCCATATTGTTCTGTTAACACAGTGTCATCTGACTTTTCTGTTTAATTGTATTTCTAATTACATTTAAATAATTCATAAGACAGCATCTTCAAAGCAAGGCTCTTTTTTTTAAGATTTATTTGTATTTTGGGGGGGGGGTGAAGGCAGATATGCAGATAGAAGGAGAGACAGAGAGAAAGCTCACCCATCCATGGTTCACTCCCCAAGTGACCACAACAGCCAGTACTGCACCAATCTGAAGCCAGGAGCCTGGAGCCTCTTCCAGGTCTCCTGCGCTGGTGTAGGGTCCCAAGGCTTTGGGCCGTCTTCAACTGCTTTCCCAGGCCACAAGCAGGAAGCTGGATGGGAAATGGGGCTGCCGGGATTAGAACCTGCACCCACATGGGATCCCAGCGCATCCAAGGTGAGGACTTTAGCCACTAGGCCACCGCGCCGCACCCTATCTCCGTTTTTCAAATAAATTTTAAAAAATATTTTAGGTAACCACATGAATGCAGTCTCTAAGAATGAGCAGAATTGGTTTTTTCCTTTTCTTTTTTAAAGATTTACTTATTTTTACTAGAAAGGCAGATTTACAGAGAGAGGGAAGAGAGGAAGATATTCCACCGAGTCACTTTCCAATTGGCTGCAGCTGCTGGATCGGAGCTGATCAGGAGCCAGGGACAACTTCTGGGTCTCCCATGTGGGGACGGAGTACCAAGGCTTTGGGCCGTCCTCGATTACTTTCCCAGACTATAAGCAGATAGCTGAATGGAAAGTGGAGCAGGTGGTATATGAACTCATGCCCATATGGGATCCTGGCATTGCATGCAAGGTAAGGATTTAGTTACTGAGCCATTGCAGCAGGTCTGAGAGACATCATTGATTATAACAATGAGTGCCAGGGAACACTTTAAAACTGTGCTTGTTAGCCTAGTGGCTAAAGTCATCTCCTTGCATCTTCCAGATTCTGTATGGGCACTAACTCACATTCCGGCTGTTCCACTTCCCATCCAGCTCCCTGTTTGTAACCTGGGAAAGCAGTAGATGATAACCCAAAGCCTTGGGACCTGTTACTCTTAGTAACTTTGACTTTCAAATAAATAAATCAATTTTAAAAAAAAGCAGAAAATGAAAGGACTCATTTGGAAATGCAGACAGTGGTTTGTCTTCGGGGTGCCTAGACAACTCTTGCATCTCAATGGTACTTTGGAACTTTCTTTGTTGTATATGTTTCAGGTTTCCTGGTGTTTCTTGTTTATTTGTAATATGAAATGATTGTAGTAAATACATTTTTGTATTAAACAGCCATTGTTTGCAAGGTGCTCATGTATTTGTTTTGTTTATGTCTGTTCTGTTTAGGTCAGATGTCCTGTAATCCCTCCTTTGGTGGCATTGGAAAGGGGCATTTAATGAGAGAAGTAGATGCCTTGGATGGTCTGTGTTCTCGCATCTGTGACCAGTCTGGTGTGCATTACAAAGTGTTAAACCAGCGAAAGGGGCCAGCTGTGTGGGGTCTGAGAGCGCAGATTGATAGGAAACTGTATAAGCAGAATATGCAGGTAAGAACAAGAGCATGGGACGAGAAAGGACTGTTGTGGTTATTTAAATGCTTTGGTTCATTTGGCATTCTTTTTTGACAGAAAGAAATCCTGAACACACCCCTGCTTGCTGTTCAGGAGGGAGCTGTAGAAGATCTGATTCTTTCAGAACCAGAGCCTGGGCACCCAGGGAGATGCCGCATCAGTGGGGTTGTTTTAGGTATGTACTGGTTGTAGATGTATAGAATTCCACATGATTGTGTTTGTTTTAAAGATTGATTTATTTTTATTGGAAAGCAGCATTACAGGGAGAGGGAATAGAAAGGTCTTCCATATCTGCTGGTTTCACTTCCCAAATGGCTGCAACAGCTGGAGCTGAGCTGATCAGGAGCCAGGACCTTCTTCTAGGTCTCCCACGCTGGTGCAGGGTCTGAAGCCTTTGGGCCATCCTCGACTGCTTTCCCAGGCCACAAGCAGGGAATGGGAAGGGAAGTGAAGCATTCAGGAAATGAACCAGTGCCCATATGGGATCCCAGTTAAGTCATCACACCAGCCACGTTTTTGTATTTTCTTTGAGGAAAAGCTGTATGAATAATCGTGTTTTCCTTTTCATCCTTACCATCATGAAGCTTATTCAAATTTTGGGTTTGTTATCATCTAGTGTAGGCTTTCACTAAAACAAAATGTTCATTTTAAATGCAAAGCAAAAGAGAGAACAGTGAAATGTCTTGCATTCACTTGATCATTCTCCAAATGCATAGCTGGACCAGCCCAAAGAATGGAGCCAGGAAGTGCATGTGGGTGATATGGCCCAAGCGTTCTATCCATCATCCACTCCCTCCCAGGGACCAGCAGCAGGAAACTAGATCTGAAATTGAGGAGATAGGACTGGAGCTGGCACTGCCAGGTGGGAAGCGGGTATCTTAGGGTGGCTTGTGCTGTGCCACCACTTCCATCTCTCTCTCTCTCTCTCTTGTTTTTTCACTACCCCACTCAAGCCGAACCCCACTCAAACTCCTCCTGCTGCAAGATGTTAGCGGCAGCAGAGCCAGGGCCTTAATCCAGTTCCCAGGTTTCTCTCATGGTGTACTTACTCTGAGGAAAGAGCTCTCTCAGGCCTGGAGAAAGCCTAGGACTTGGTCACTGCCTTTCGGCAGTGACTTTGGCCTGAGTCCCCAGCATTGGGTCTGGCCTGCTGGGGCACCCCGCACAGCTGCCACGCTGAAGGGAGCTGCTTTTGCCCCAACCCTATAGCCAAACACCACAAATCCCATCTCTTAATGTGCTATTTTATACCCTGTGCCTTTTCCCCCGGACTGTGTATTATAATTTCTTTCTTTAAAATTCTGACTTTAATTTGCTTAAATGTGTATCCTCTTGTTTTATTACCTTTTGGGGAAGGGAGGGATATTTGTTTATTTTTTAAAAGGCCAGTAACAAAGAAAGGCACAAGAAGAGACAATTTCCATCTGCTGGTTCACTCTTCAAATGCCCACAGTGGCCAGGGCTGGACCAGGCTGAAGCCAAGAATGTAGAGTTTCACTTGGATCTCCCACATGGGTGGTAGTTGCCCAAGTTCGTGTACCATCATTTGCTGCTTTTCCAGGCGTGTTAACAGGGAGCTGGATCAGAAGCAGAGCAAACAGGACTTGAACAAGCGCTCACATGGAATGCTGGCATGCCAGACTGAGGCTTAAGGGGCTGTACATACACATACACCAACTCCTGCATAGTCTTTTTGTGTGTTTAAATTAAGCCTTGAAATTTGTGTTGGGAAGATGGCTATCTCGCTTCCTCAAGATAGATGCTTCAATTTTTTTCTAAGTGTTTATTCTATTGGCATCTACTTGAAAAGCAGAGTCATAGAGGGAGAGAGATCTTCCATCCACTGGGTCACTTTCCAAATGCCCACAACAGCCAGACCAATGCCAAGGGCCCAAATTCCATTCAGAAATTCACTTACTGAGCTGATTTCTAGGATGTATTGTAAAGAAATTGGATGAGAAGCAGAGCAGGGGTTGGCACGACAGTGTAATACTCCGCCTTGTAGCACCAGCATCCATCCCGTATGAGTGCCAGTTCCTGCTCTGACTGTTGCACTGCTGGGACAGCTCCCCACATGTGGACTGGGAAAGCAGCAGAGGATGCCTCAAGTTCTTGGGCCCTGCACATATGGGAGACCAGAACAAGCACATGGCTTCTCGCTACTATTTTGGATCGGCTGTGGCTGTTGTGCCTACTAACCTATTGTGCCAGGCCCAATACTAGTTGTTTTTTTTTTTTTTAAGATTTATTTATTTGTCTTAGCACTGTTGCATGGTGGGTTAAGCTAACACCTCAATGTCAGCATCAGAGCAGTGTTCCACTTCTGATCCAGCGCCGTGCTAATGTACTGAGAAAACAGCAGAGGATGCCCAAGTACATGGACCCTTACCTTCACATTGGAGACCTGGCTCTAGTCTTCAGCTTCTCCCTGTCCCAGCCTGTTGTGGCTATCTGGGGAGTGAACCAATGAATGGAACATCGATCTCTCTCTCTTTCTCTTTCTCTCTCTCTCCTTCTCCCTCCCTTTCTGTAACTCTGCCATTTAAATGAACAAAATAAGACTTTAAAATTACTTGTTGGAGGGCCCAGCGCGGTAACCTAGTGGCTAAAGTCCTTGCTTTGCACACGCCAGGATCCCATATGTGCTCCCATCCAGCTCCCTGATTGTGGCCTGGGAAGGCATTTGGGGATGGCCCAGAGCCTTGGGACCCTGCACCCATATGGGAGACCCAGAAGAATCTCCTGGCTCCTGGCTTCAGGTCAGCTCAGCTCCGAGTGACCATTGTGGCCACTTGGGGAGTGATTCAGCAGATGGAAGATCTTCCCCTCTGTCTCTCCTCCTGTCTATAGATTTGACTTTCCAATAAAAATAAATCTTTTTTTTTTTTAAATTACTTATTGCAAAGACAGGATTGCTGAGTGATAGAGTCAGAGCGAGATCTTCGATCCCCTGGTTCTCTCCCCAGTTGGCCGCGATAGGGCTGGGCCTGGCTGAGGGCAGGGGGCAGGGGCTTTGTCTGGATCTCCCATGTGAGTGGAGGGGCACAGATTCTTGGGCCCTCTTTTACTGCTGTCCCAGACGCATTAGCAGGATCAGAAATGAAGCAGCCAGGACTTGAACTGGCTCCTCTGTGGGATGCTGGCACTATAGGTGATTTAGCCTGTTGTGCCATAATAACAGACCTATAATTAAAGACAGTGGTGAGGGTTATTCAGGTGGTGAGGAATACAGACATAGGAGAGCCATATTCAGGGAGAGCTGGCCAGGAAGGAGAGTGCCATCCTCCATCCTCGGAGTGCATCTGCAGAGAGCAAGAGTGGGAGAGAGCTGTGTAACTTTTTATTGTGATGAAAGATACATTATAAAAAATTTACCATTTGATCATTTTAAGTGTGCTAATCGGTGCCATTAAGTATTCATTGTTGTATAATCAGTACCACTACCATCTTTTTTGTCATCTCAAGCTGAAATTCCATATACATTAAATGACCATTAACTCCATCCCCTGAAGAATGAACTTCTATTATTCTGTGAGGTAGAACTGGGACAAAACCTTGATATGTTAGTTTCATCTATTTCGTCTTAGCCACAGATTCCCTCTGCATTCCTCAGTTCTCTTTCTCAGTTCTCTAATCTCAGTTTCTCTGTAAGGCAAACTAATTTTACTCCTCATGGTATCTCCCTACAGACACTTGAGTGTCAGTTATTTTCCGTTTGCTGAGTCAGTTAACATTCTTTCAACTGCTTCCTTTCTCCCAGAAATATGCTAGAGTATGTCCGAAAATTCATGTGACAGGGCTAAGCATGTGAATGGGAACCTCTGCTCCGCTGGCTTATTTTGGCTGATGAGTGGCAGGGTGCAGCCTGGCCAGACTGCTTAGAAAGCAGCCGGCACCATCTTGGCTTGAGTGATCAGAATGCCCATTGTCTACTGTCACCGGGCTTTGCCGGTTCGCCACCTGCCAACTAGTTCCAGGGACTTGGGGGTGAGGAATTACTGCTTAGGGACATCCATGGATAAAGCTACCATACATGTAAGTGAGGATTGAATCCTGAGGGACTCCCAATGTCAGGGCCACTGTTCTTGCAGGTTAAGTGAGGGGACTGAGACCTGGTGGTTTGGAGGAGAGAGACTGGAAGATCTATATGGGTAGAATGATTCGCCATCCCACATGGGAGTCCTGAGTTGGGCTTACTAGTGCAGAACATTGCTGACCACCACACGTCAGCTCACATGAAAGCTAGGCCTAGGGGCCTGTTTAGCAGTGCTAAATCCCAGTACCTGACTGAATGTCAGAACAGAGGATTAGTCATGTTAGGCAGGGTCATTACACTAGCCACATGCGAGCAAACCAGATCTGGGGATAGATTTTGTGGGTAATAAGTGGCCCCAACCCTTTGGAAATACAAGTCTGACTTGTTAGCTCAAGAGTAGGAGTGGTGATGAGCTGAATAGGCTGGCCAGGTCCAGGCTGCAACATCTGCATGTGTATCCTAAAACTGTGTGTGGTGGGCTGAGCCTCGACATTCATAAGCCCATACAAAGGCCAAGATGGAGAGGCAGACTGTGCCAGGCAAGGGCCTAGCACACGTTGGCATGCGTGAGATTCGAGTCTGGGAGTGGGCCGACTGGGGCAATTGGGAAACTCTTAGTGGGTCATAGCTCCCATTGGTGAGCACATGGTTAACACCTGGGGGTTGGGCAAGCTGGGCAAGGAAGCTCCATCTATTGGCAGGTGTATGGATGGTCTTCGAAGGGGGAGGACTAGGCAGGGCTGAGCAAACCTCAGCTCACTGGCAAGTGCAGAAACCAGACTGGGCTAGGCCATCACACCTGCCAGTTTGCATGAGCTGTAGATGAGAGCAGACTGAGCAGGACCAGGTTCCAGCACCCGCCAGTGAGAGTTGGGATTTGGGGCAGACTGGGTCAGGCCAAGCTACAGCATCCAAAGGCAAAGACCAATACAGATAAAGGACTATGCTAAGCTGGGTCAGAGCAACCACTGGAACATGTGAGATCTGTCGCTGGGAACGGACCACAGATCTGTTGGGGATCTGGTTGAGGAGTTAAGGGAATGCCTTGGCTGGGCTCTGGGTCCCACTGGTGAGTGCGGGGGCCAGGGTGGGACCTGCTGTCTGGTGTGGACATACCTGTAGTGTCCCTCTGCATGGCTGTGGACTGGGTCTACGGTGTGCCAGCCTGGGACAGACTCTAGCACCTACTGGTGCTCATGAGAACCAGGGTAGGTGTAGCATGGGCTGGGCTAGGTCTCTGCTCCTGCTGAGCCATGTGTGAGCTGTGTCTGGGTGTGGACCAGTCTTGCTTAAGCTGTAATACCCAACAGTAAAAACTGGAATGGGTGAGAGCCGGTCAGGAAAGGCCACTGTTCCTGCTAGGACAGGAGGTGGACTAAGTAGGGCTGGCCCATGAACCCACCAGTATGTGCAAATTCTGGCATTGGGAGAGGTTCTGATAGAGGAGCTTGGGGAACTCCGCTTTTGGGACACAGTCCCTGGAAGTAAGCACAAGAACCAGGATAGGGAGCAGCCCAGACCAGGCCAGGGAATGGTATCCAACAGCATACATTTGGTGCAGGTTGGGGGCGAAGCAGGTTGGGCCAGTTCATGTCACCCACTGGTGATTTTGAGCACCAGATTGGAGTGTGGGTCAGGCTGGGTTGAGTCACAACACAAGCCAGTTCACATGAGGGCCAGAAATGGGGGCCTACTGGGCTGCGCTAGGCTGTAGCCCCTACCAATATGAGCTGGAATTCCATCTATCTGAAGCCAGGAGCCAGGAGCTTCTTCTGGGTCTCCCACACAGGTGCAGGTCCCACAAAGCCTTGGGACCCTGCACCCACGTGGGAGACCTGGAAGAAGCTCCTGGCTCCTAGCTTTGGATCGGCTTAGCTTTGGTCGTTGCAGCCACATGGGGAGTGAATCAGTGGATGGAGGATCTTCCTTTCTGTCTCTCCCCCTCTCTGTATATCTGACTTTCTAATAAAAATAAAACAAATCTTAAAAAAAAAAATCAAGTCTGAGAACACCTCAGGTGGAGTTTTTGTGAGTGCTCCAACTGAATCGCTAAACTCAGAACCCCAACATGGAGAGGATTGCAGGTTCCATGGTCTGACCATGAGTGCATGAATCAGAGCTGGGCCTCCTCAGTGGCTTAGATGGAGCAGTGGATTGCATATCCAGGTGCACCTAGAGGAAATGGCAGTACATTGGAGCCAGCAGCAGACACCTGGTACTGTAACAGAGGATGGAGGACAGAATAAATTGATCAACATTCTAGCCAAGTGTTGGCATTGAAAATCTGGGCAAACAGAGACTCTAAGGTGGACTGTGTCAACCAGTGGATTCTGGAGAGATTTCATCGTGCTTGAAGTGGAGAGATGGGCAGTAATTCAGAATTGTTGAACTATCAAAACCTCTTGAGTAGGGTGGAGCTCGCGCCACATCGGGGACCCTGGGATGGTGTTGAATAGCTGTCCTCTATCCCAGGATATGGAGGCGTTTGGGAAGCTTGGTGTGGCTTCTCCCCTTGTCTTCCTTCACCCCAGATGCAGAAAGGAAAAAAAAAAGAATGTGGAAATGGTGGTCTCACCCACTTCCCTGTAGCCCTTGACCCTTTACACCCTAATCAACTATGTAAAAATCATCAAAAAAAAATTGATCTAGCTTCCTGCTATGGTATCTGGAAAGGCCGAGAAGATGGCTCACGTTGTCACTTCACTTGCCGCCTCCATGGGGAACCCACATGGAGTTCCAGGCCTCTGCCTTTGTCCTGGCCCAGCCGCAGCAGTTGCAGCCGTTTAAGGAGTGTACCAGTGAATGGAAGATCTCTCTTTCTGTCTCTGTTGTTCTGCCCTTCAAATAACTAAGTTTTTTGGGTTTTTTTCTTTTTCTTTTTTTTTTTTTTATTGCAAAGTCAGATATACAGAGAGGAGGAGAGACAGAGAGGAAGATCTTCCATTCGATGTTTCACTCCCCAAGTGAGCACAATGGCCTGTGCTATGCCGATCCAAAGCCAGGAGCCAGGAACTTCTTCCGGGTCTCCCACACAGGTGCAGGGTCCCAAAGCTTTGGGTGGTCTGCGACTGCTTTCCCAGGCCACAAGCATGGAGCTGGAAGGGAAGTGAAGCAGCTGGGATTAGAACCGGTACCCAAATGGGATCCTGGCGCATTCAAGGTGAGGACTTTTTGTTACTACACTATTACGCTGGGCCCAAATAAATAAATTGTTTAACAAAGAGGGGAGGAGTCTTCAAAAAATTCATGAAAGACATTTATTTTTATTTGAAAGGTAGATTTTATGGAGAGAAGGTCTTCCATCTAATGGTTCATTCCCCAAACGGCCACAGTGGTCAGAGCTAAGCTGATACATAGCTGGGAGCCAGGGGCTCCCACACGGATGCAAGATCCCAAAGACCTGGGCCATCCTCCTCCAGACCACAAGCAGAGAGCTGGATCAGAGGTGGAACAGCTAGGTCATGAACTGGTGTCCATAAGGAATGCGGGCTCTAACAGGTGGAGGATTAGCTTGCTATGCCACCATGCTGGACATGAAAGATGGATTTTTTTTTTTTTTAAAGATTTGGGCCCTGCGCAATCAGCTAGTGGACAAGGTCCTCGCCTTGCACACACCTCAGTCCCATATGGGCACTGGTTCTAATCCTGGCGGCCCTGCTCCCATTCAGCTCCCTGCCTGTCTTGGGAAAGCAGTAGAGGATGGCCCAGAGCCTTGGGACCCTGCACCTGCATGGGAGACCTGAAAGACACTCCTGGTTCCTGTGCTAATGAAAACCAGTCATGTTCCATTTGCACCCCTGCTAACAGTTAGGACATTATTTTACTGGAGTTGGTGCAGTGATGTATTGGGTTTGGGTTCCTAATTTCGGTCTACCTCAGTCCTGTCCATTGCAGCATTTAAGGAGTGAACTGGCAGATGGAAGGTTCTCCTCTCTCTCTCTGTAACTCTATTTTTTAAATAAATAAGTAAATAAAGAATGTTACTCTGTCCTGCCCGTTATTTAGTGGATGGAAGCACAGTACATGCGGAGAGTGTCATTCTGACCACTGGGACGTTTCTGAGAGGCCAGGTTGTAATTGGATTGGAGACGCATCCGGCAGGACGCCTAGGAGATCAGCCTTCTATAGGATTGGCTCAAACTCTTGAGAAGTTGGGGTTCGTAGTGGGAAGGTTGAAGACTGGGACTCCACCCCGAATTGCCAAGGACTCCATTAATTTCAGCATTCTAAACAAGCAGACACCAGATGATCCTCCCGTACCCTTCAGTTTTCTCAACGACACAGTGTGGATTAAGGTAAGGTAATTTATGAGCACCTAGAATAACTTGACCATTCACAGCAAGGAGAAGACTAGTCCTTTTTCACTGTTGCTTAAGGCACAAAGAAATGATCTGTAAAAGGAATAGCTGATTTGACGAATCCAGTGTTGCCCACAAATTCTTGGGTTTCACTACCTGTGCAGTTTGATTTATTTTGTACAACAAACTGCTTGGGGGCAGCATAATGGCTCAGTCAACTGATCCTCCACCTGTAAGCACTGGCATCTCATGTGGATGCCAGTTTGTTTCCTGGCTGCTGCACTTCCCATCTGACCCCCTGCTTGTGGCCTGGGAAGGCAGTGGAAAATGGCTTAAAGCCTTGGGACCCTGCACCTGCGTGGGAGGCCCAGAGGAGGCACGAGTTTGCTTGCATGTTTGTTTGTTTATTTCCCCCAGAAAAGACATTATGCTTGCTTTTTTTTCCTGGAGCATTTGAAAGTAAGTTGCAGAGATCATGAGCTTTTTTTTTTTTTAAAATATTTATTTTTATTATTTTTTTATTGGAAAGGCGGATGTACAGAGAGGAGAGACAGAGAGGAAGATCTTCCGTCCGATGATTCACTCCCCAAGTGAGCGCAACGGGTCGATACTATGCCGATCCGAAGCCAGGAGCCTCTTCCGGGTCTCCCACGCGGGTGCAGGGTCCCAAAGCTTTGGGCCGTCCTCAACTGCTTTTCCAGGCCACAGGCAGGGAGCTGGAAGGGAAGCGGAGCTGCCGGTATTAGAACCGGCGCCCATATGGGATCCCGGGCGTGCAAGGCGAGGACCTTAACCACTTGCGCCACCGCACCGGGCCCGATCATGAGCTTTTGCCTGTAAGTATTTCAGACCATATCGCAACTCAGCACAGAAACATCCTGTTACCTAACCTAATGATGAAGTTGGGGGATTTGGCATTGATAGAATGCTGCTATCATTTTTTTTTTCAAATTATTTATTTAAATAAAACTTATTTGAGGGTTTGGCACGGTGGCTCCGCAGGCTCATCCACGTCTTGCAGGATGTACATCCCGTATGGGCACCAGTTCATGCCCTGGCTGCTCCATTTCCTTTTCGTTTTTTTTTTTTTTTAAGATTTATTTGTTTTTATTGAAAAGGCAGATATACAGAGAGGAGGAGAAACAGTGAGAAAGATCTTCCGTCCGATGATTCACTCCCCAAGTGAGCGCAACGGCCGATGCTATGCCGATCCGAAGCCAGGATCCAGGAACTTCTTCCAGATCTCTCACTCGGGTGCAGGGTCCCAAGGCTTTGGGCCGTCCTCCACTGCCTTCCCAGGCCACAAGCAGGGAGCTGGATGGGAAGCGGGGCTGCCGGGATTAGAACCGGCGCCCATATGGGATCCCGGTGCGTTCAAGGTGAGGACTTGCAGACAGGGGATTAACCCATGAACCATTGAACCCCCCCCCCCCCCGGCCACACCACCAAGCAAGTTATTTTGTGCTTTCGTAAAATGCAGTTTATGATGGTACTTGGTTAAAGTGTGCATAGTTTTAAAAAGTTTTTATTGTAAATTTCCAGGCTTACACCAAGTATGGAAATATTTTAGTAAATCTGTGTCCATCACCCAGCTTCATGAAATAGCATTTTTGGCATCCTTGCTACATCTTTCATCCTAAATACTTTTCTTTTTCATGAGTTTTAAAGCAACGACCCTAGAAGTGTGTGTGTGTGTGTCTCTGTGTGTGTGTGTGTTTTCATGGAGTTTAATGAAACACAACCAGGGTTGGCAGGGCCTTTGTATAGGTATCTTTAATAGCTATGAACTTTAAGGGAGAAAAGAATTTATCACAGCTGGGTCCGGTGCGGTAGCCTAGCAGCTAAAGTCCTTGCCTTGCACATGCCAGGATCCCAGATGGGCGTCAGTTCTAATCCCAGGAACACTGCTTCCCATCCAGCTCCCTGCTTGTGGCCTGGGAAAGCAGTCAAGGACAGCCCAAGCCTTGGGACCCTGCACCCATGTGGGAGACCCAGAGGAGGCTTCTGGCTCCTGGCTTTGGATTGGCTCAGCTCCAGCCAATGCTGCTTGGGGAATGAACCAGAGGACAAATATTTTCCTCTCTGTCTCTCCTCCTCTCTGTATAATCTTTCTGATTTAAAAAAAAAAAAAAAAAAAAACTTCTTAAAAATTATCACAGCTAACATCTAATATTTAGTGTTTAATTGTCCCTAATTATGTCAAAAATGTTTTTACAGAGTTTTGATTTTAACCAGAAGTCAAATAATATTCATATTGCATTGGCAAATATGGTTTGTAATAGTACCTTTACGTTTTTAACATTTATATATTGAAGAAATGGAGTCATTTGCATCCAGAATTTCCACATTCTGGTTTTGTCTGATGGTGCTCCCGTGGGATTCTACTTCTCCATCCTCCTTCCTATAAGCTGATGGCAGAGCTCGAGGCTTACATATGCTTAGATATAGCTTGTGGGTGGTTTGTTTTTGACAAGAAAGACTCATAGGCCTCACTGGGCATGATATGTGGATTTACTGTCTAGAAAATAAGCATAGATTGTGTGGAATTTGAGTAAGAGACAAATTAGTATGGCCGCCGCACAGGCTTACGTCTGGTTACTGTTTTTTCAGCCGGAAGATCAGCTGCCGTGTTACCTGACTTATACCAACCCTCAGGTGGACAAGATTGTCCTTGAGAACCTTCACCTGAACAGTCACGTTCAGGAAACCACAAGAGGGCCCCGGTAAGGACGGGGACTCGCCAGTGCTCAGCTGCTTGGAGGCATCATGGCAGCCCTCTTCGCTTCATTTCGGTTTTTTCAATTTCATTGTCCTGTTACAGATACTGTCCCTCCATTGAATCGAAGGTGTTGCGTTTTCCAAACCGTCAACATCAGGTTTGGTTGGAACCTGAAGGAATGGACTCTGATCTCATCTACCCTCAAGGGTTATCTGTGACACTTCCGGCCGAGTTACAAGAGAAAATGATCACGTGCATCAGAGGCTTGGAGGAAGCGAGAATGGTCCAGCCAGGTAAAGAGCACGCAGCTCCCTTCTGGGTAGCTCCACTTCGCGCTGTCAGCGAGGAGGTGTTAACTGCAGTCAGGTTGATTGCTTGGAGTCTCAGGAGATGAAGCCCAACATATGTAGGCTTAAAATAATCTTGAGTGTTGAAGGGCATTTGGTGATAATCTTTACATCTCTGCTGTGAAGCCAACCCAGCTCCGTTTTTGCTGTCTCATGCTTGATTCTTTGGTTAGGCTACGGTGTTCAGTATGATTACTTCGATCCCCGTCAGATCAGTCCTTCGCTGGAGACTCACCTGGTTCAACGACTCTTCTTTGCGGGACAGATAAACGGCACCACTGGCTATGAGGAAGCTGCAGCTCAAGTAAGAGGCTGTGCAAGTGTTACTGCAAGCCGAAGGAGACTGTTTAACTGGTGTTGTTAATTCAGATGTCTGAACAATATAGATCTTGGATAAAACTTCTAGCTGAAGAGAATACTGTTGCTGTTTCAGGATATATACAGTGGCTGTTGTGTGTAATTGGTTTTTTAAGATTTATTTATCGAGAAGTCAGATATAAAGAGAGGAGACACAGAGAGAAAGGTCCTCTGTCCATTGGTTCACTCCTCAAATAGCTGTGATCGCTGGAGCTGAGCCATTCCAAACCCAGGAACCAGGAGCTTCCTCCATGCCTGCCATGTGGGTGCAGGGTCCCAAGGCTTTGGGCCATCCTTGACTGCTTTCCCAGGCCACAAGCAGGGAGCTGGATGGGAAGCAGGGCTGCCAGGACACAAACCAGCACCCGTATGGGATCCTGGTGTGTGCAAGGTGAGGACTTCAGCCTTTGGGCTGTCATACCAGGCCCCAGTAATTGAGTTTAAAAAACACCTGACTGGACCCAGCATGGCAGCCTAGTGGCTAAAGTCCTCACCTTAAACATGCCAGGATCCCATATGGGGACTGGTTCTAATCCTGGCAGCCCCACTTCCCATCCAGCTCTCTGCTTGTGACCTGGGAAAGCAGTAGAAGATGACCCAAAGCCTTGGGATCCTGCACCGGTATGGGAGACCTGGAAGACTCTGGGCTCCTGGCTTTGGATCGGCACAGCTCTGGCTATTGTGGTCACTTGGGGAGTGAATCATCGGACGGAAGGTCTTCTGTCTCTCCTCCTTTCTCTATGTCTGACTTTGCAATAAAAATGAATAACCTAAAAAAAAAAAAAGAAAGAAAAACACCTGTGACTATTATTATTTTCCAGATTCCTAGATCTGGTATTGTATTTTGACTATATTAATTGTGTTGTCTCTGAAATTAAAAAGATAAGTAAGTTATTTTAACAATTTTATTGGAAATTACATTGTTTCTTATAAATGGGTATGTTAATAGGTGAGAAAATCTAGAAAAGTCTCATGTGAATTTTTTTTACATTATTTTTTTTTTTAAGTTAGCCCTCAGGCTCATCAGGAAAACTAGGTGTTTCTGAAACAATGAAATGTAAGCAGGCTAAATATTCAGAAAAAATATGGGTCCCTTGTGGGACCCATATACATCCTCGTGGACAGTCTGCTTTCTGCTTATCCTGTGCTGTCCTTTTCTTGTAGTGTTCTGGTAGAATAGCTTTTTGTTCAGCCCATAATGGCCTTTTAAACATTTCAGTCCTCTTGTAGGGTGTGATAGCTGGGATCAACGCCAGTCTCCGTGTGAGCCGCAAGCCTCCGTTTGTCGTCAGCCGCACAGAAGGCTACATCGGAGTCCTGATCGATGACCTCACAACGCTGGGGACCAATGAACCATACCGCATGTTTACCAGCCGAGTAGAGTTCCGTTTGTCATTGCGTCCGGATAATGCTGATACCCGGCTCACGTTCCGAGGTAAACACACTGAGCCATGAACTGATTAACTCCTCTTTGAAAGCTCTTACGGATGTTGTGGTACAGTGAATTCAGCTGCAGCTTGGGATGCCCACATTCCATTTCAGTGTGGCTAGTTTCATTCCCAGCACTTCCACTTAACCTGGTTTCCTGCTTATGCGCCTGGGAGGCAGTGGATGGTGGCTTAAGTACCTGGCCTCTACCACTTACGTGTTTGACCTAGATAGAAGTCCAGTCTTCTGGCTTTGTCCAGACCCAGCTGTGATCTTACAGACATTTGGGAAACCAATCTCCAAGTGGAATATCTTGGTCTCTTTCCCTGTCTCTGCCTTTCAAGTAAATAATATTTGAAAAAAAATTTATTGTGTGGGCAGCACACTCGTGCTACAAGTTAATCCTCTGCCTACAACTGCTGGCATCTCATAAGGGTGCTTGTTCCTGTCCTGGATGCTCCACTTCCCATCTGACTCCTGGCTTATGGACTGGGAAAACAGCAGAGGTTGGCTCTGGTCCTTGAACCCCTGCCCCCGCACCCCCATGTGGGAGACCTGGAGGAAGCTCCTGGCTTCATGTAGATTCAGCTCTGGTTATTGTGGCCATTCGGGATTGAACCAGTAGAAGGAAGATTTTTTTCTCTCTCTCTTTCTACCTCTCTCTAGCCCTCCATCCCTCTGTCTCCTTTTTTGTAAATCTGCCTTTCTAATAAAATACATTTAAAAAAAAAGAGAGAGAGATCTTTCATTTTTGGAAAAACAGAGTTACAGAATAAGAAACAGAGATCTTCCATCTGCTGGCTCACACACAAATTACAACAGCTAGGGCTGGGCCAGAGCAAAAGCCACAGAAACTTCATCCAAGTGCTCCCTATAGGAGCATGTGGACCATCTTTCACTGCTTTCTTAGGCACATTAGCAGGAAGCTGGTTCAGAAGTGGACTAGTTGGGGTTTGAAGTGTTGCTGATAGGAAAAGCCTGTATTACAGGCAATGGCCTAACCCACTGCTGAACAGCTGCATAACACCAGCCCCGTTAATAAATTATTATAAAAAAGAAAAAGAAATAGGCCATGTGATGGCTAAATCCTTGCCTTGCAAGTGCTAGAATCCCATATAGACACTGGTTTATATCGCTGCTGCTCCACTTCCCAACAGCTCTTTGCTTGTGGCCGGGGAAACAGTGGAAATTGGCACCAAAGCCTTGGGACCCTGCACCTGCATGGGAGACCTGGAAGAAGCTCCTGATTCCTTGCTTCAGATTGGCTCAGCTCCAGTCGTTGCTGCCACTTGGGGAGTGAACAAATGATGGAAGATCTTTCTGTCTCTCTCTGCTTCTCTCCGTAAATCTACCTTTCCAATAAAAACAAATAAATCTCTAAAAACAAACAAAAATCTTTCTTAACAATATTAAAAATAAAAATTGGGAAAGGGACCTTCTTGGTTCCAGCATGATGGCGTAATAGGCTAATCCTCTGTCTGCAAGCACAAGCATTCCATATTGTGTTGGTTCATGTTCTGGCTGTTCCACTTCTGATCTGGCTGTCTGCTTATGGTCTGGGAAAGCAGCAGAGAATGGCCCACATCTTCGGGCCCCTGGACCCATGTGGGAAGTCAGGGAGAAGCTCCTGGCTTCGGATTAGCTCAGCCCTGGCCATTATTGCCATTTAAGGAGTGAACCAGCAGGTGGAAGACCTGCTTCTCTGTCTCCTTCACTATGTCTTATAAATAAATCTTTAAGAAACAAAACAAAATAAACAACAGAAAAGCTTCTTAATTTATTTCTCCTCACTGTATCCTAGGGTATGAGGAAGCTGGTTGTGTGTCCCAGCAACGATATGAAAAAGCTTGTTGGATGAAATCTTCTCTAGAAGAAGGCATTTCTGTGCTGAAATCCGTTGAATTTTCAAGCTGTAAGTGGAAAAAGTTAATCCCAGAGGCTTCTATAAGTGCTACAAGAAGTCAGCCTGTGAGGTATGTGCATTTGATATAGGCTTTTCTCACTTTTTTACAGAAAAATGAGATCATTTCAGTGACATTACCTGTAGAGCCTCTACTTAAACATTTTATTTTTATAAATCTATTTATTTGTTTGAGTTACACAGAGGGAGGGAGAGCGCTTGTGCTCATGGCTGGTTCAGGCCAAAGCCGGAACCCGGGAGCTTCATCCACCTGGTCTCCCACAGGACTCACAAGGGACCAGCGAACTGAGTCCTCTACCATTGCCTTTTCCCAGGACAGCAGGAAGTTGGACTGGAGATGGAGCAGCTGGGACATTAACAAGCACCCATATGGGACTTCGGACTTGCAGACATTGGTTTTGCCCACTGTGCTACAACACTCGCCCTTATCTAAAATTTTGAATAAATGTAACTTGCCTTCAGTTCCTTTTCAGAATCCTTTAGATGTAGCTCATTCATCTTCAGTATTAAGAATATGTATATGGGTTTAATGAGTAGAAAGAGGAGTTCCGAGACCCCAGACATAAATGCTACTTGTTTTAAGTCAGCACACATTGCATGTGTTTGTTATATCTTTGTACTCCAAATATATGGACAGTTATTGACTGTTAATAAAAAAAAAAAAAGGAAGTTTAAATAGGTGGAAATAAAATTACTTACACAACATTTGAAATTGATCAGGGCCAGTGCTCTGGCATGATAGCTTAGGCCTTAGCTTGTGGCACTAGCATCCCGTATGGGTGGCAGTTCGGGTCCCAACTGCTGCACGTCCTATCCAGCTCCCTGCTAATGTGCCTGGGAAAGCAGCAGAGGGTGGCCCATTGCTCTGTCCCCTGCAGCCATGTGGGAGACCCAGAAGAAGCCCTGGCATGTGATTTCAGACTGGCCCAGCTGTGGCTATTGTGGCCATCTATGGAGTGAACCAGAGATTGGAAAATCTCTCTCTGTTTCTCCTTTTCTGGGGTAAATCTGTCTTTCCAGTAGAAATAAATCTTTTTTTTTTTTTTTAAAGTGTGTCATGCAAAAGTTAAAGTTGCCACGTCCGATGCCCATATCTTACATTGGAGTGCTGGTTTGAGTCCAGCAGTTCCACTTCTAGTCCAGCTTCCAGCTAATGCATCTTAATAGGCAAGAGATAATGGTTCAAGTGCTTATGCTCATGCAGGCCACATGGAAGGCCCAGAGAGAATTCCAGGCTCCTGGCTTTAGTCTGAACATCTCTGGGTATTCCAGGTATTTGGGAAATAAAGCAGCAAATGAAAGATATTTTTATTTCATGTATGTGTGTATGTTCCTGTGCATCTGTCTTTTAAGAAAATGATAATAAAATTTTTAAGATGTAGACTAATTGGACCCAGTCAATAACCTACTGGCTTAATTCTCGCTTTGCACATACTGGGATCCCATACGGCCACCAGTTCTAATTCCAGCAGCTCCACTTCCCATCCAGCTCCCTGCTTGTGGCTAGGGAAAGCAGTGGAGGACATCCAAAAGCTTTGGGACCCTGCACCCACATGGGAGACCCTGTAGAGGCTTCAGGCTCCTGCGTTTGGATTGATTTTCATTGGAAAGAAAATCTTTCTGTCTCTCCTCTCTATAAATCTGCTCTGCCTTTCAGAAAAAATAAATAAATCTTAAAAGCAAAGAAAAAGAGTGAACCCTACGGTCAGTTGCTGAGAAGTCTCGGGAACACTGTTTTCTGTAGCACTTGCACATTTTTACAGCCCCTCCAGCAGTGCATGAGTCTTCCAGCCTCCTCAGGAGCTCACGAACACATTAGCATTTTCTGTTTGATTTTGCTTTTGTTTTGAATTTTTATTTTATTGTTTATTTAAGAGAGGGGCTGGGAGGGGAAAAAAAGAGAGTTCCTAGTTGTGGTTCACTTACCAAATTTCTGCTGCAGGTAGGGCAGAAGCCAGCAGTCAGGAACTTCAGTCTGGGTCTCCCATATTGGTGGCAGAGACCCAGCCTCCTTAGGCATTACCTGCTGCCTCCTAGGTACACACTACATTAGCAAGAAGCTGGAAGTGGACGTGGAGCCACACTGAAGCCCAGACACTCATGTAGGATGCCGAAGTTCCAAGTGGTGTTTGTAGGTACTGCCATATATGCCTGTGTCCAACTGCCCCAGGTTTTTAATTAGGTCCTTTGTTTCTGAGTTGCAGAAGGTCCTTATAGATCCTGGGTATTAGTCCCTGATGATATGTATAATTTGCAGATATTTCCTCACCTTGTGTAAGCTGCTTTTTCACTTTGATGTATTCTTTGCTATGTGAAGACGTGAAGTTTGCTGTGACCTCTCCCATTTGTCTGCTTTAGCTTGCGTTGCCTGTGCTTTCAATATCCTACCCAAAAAATCGCTGCCAAATCTGGTGTCATACATCTTTCCTGTGTGCTCTCTTCAAGTTTCTTAGCATTTTAGAGCTTACATTTAAGTTTGTAATCCCATTTTTGTGCATGGGATAGGCAGTTTCCATTAGTCACCATGAGAAGATGCCAAAGTGTTAAAGCTACAGGTAGATCAGGTGAAGCTTCCAAAAAAACTTATTGTCACTTGCTGAGATCAAACGAGTGACAGAAAGTTGAGATATGTTTAGTCTGGAAGTGCTGGTGCTTCTTTGAACATTCTAATCTCATTTATACTGCTTTTTGAGTCTTCCCTCTTGATACCACACTCCTGTACCAACTTGACCCCAGGCTCTCTCCTTTCCTACAGTGGGTCCAACTACAGGCCATTTATTGCTGTGTTTATTCCACTCCCCCCCCCCTTTTTTTTCTTTAAGATTTATTTATTTTTACTGGAAAGGCAGATCAGATTTCTTTTTTTAAAGATTTATTTATTTTTATTACAAAGTCAGATATACAGAGAAGAGGAAATATAGAGAGGAAAATCTTCCATCCAAATTCACTCCCCAAGTGACTGCAATGGCCGGTGCTATGCCGATCCAAAGCCAGGAGCCAGGAACTTCCTCCAGGTCTCCCACTCAGGTGCAGGATCCCAAGGCTTTGGGCCGTCCTCAACTGCTTTCCCAGGCCACAAGCGGGGAGCTGGATGGGAAGCGGGGCTGCCAGGATTAGAACTGGCACATTTAAGGCAAGGACTTTAGTCACTAGGCCACTGCGCCGGGTCCTCATATAATATCTCAAAGGGCCCCCAAATAGTGAAAACACTTTTGGAAGAAGAATATGGTTGAGGGGCCAGCATTGTGGAGTAGTGGATAAAGCTACCACCTGCAACATCAGGAAATCAGTTCTTTGCATGAACAGGAGGACAGATGATAGCCGTATCACCCTATTAACAGCTTACTTCTCATGATAAGGAGTTGGGGAGAATCAAATGTCAACTCTGATTGAGGGCATGCTGTGTAACAGGTGCTGCTGCTGTGTGCACGGAGGAACATGAAGATGACCTTTTGGAGCTGTTCATTCTCAGAGTTGGTATTGGCCCAGAGGCGTGCTGCAAGATTGCCTTATATGATACGAGTATCCGCTAATGTGGCTTTTGTGTGTTTGCAGCGCTCTAGATGTTCTCAAGCATGAGGAAGTTGACATGGAGTCTCTGGCCAAGGCTGTTCCAGACCTCTTCAAGAAGTATATTCAATGTAGAAAACTAGCCGAAAGACTGAAAATAGAAGGTAGAAAACCATCTTTTTTGCCCAAGATACTTATGTACTGCCTTTAGCATTTGCATAAGCTATGAAAGGACAGCAAGCCCCTTCAGTGCTCTGTGCCCAGAAAAGCCATCATTCGCACACAGCCAGCGTGGTGTTGGGCGCTGCGCTGCTCACAGGCTGCTCTCCAGCTAGCAGCATTGCCACTCCTCTCAGCTTCTCAGAAATGTGAAGTCTCAGGCTCCATGTCATTCATACTGACAGTCTGCAGTTTAACAAGATCCTGAAGTGTTTTGTTTGTGCCTTTTAATTGAAATGTGCTACAGTAAAGCTCTCCTTGGAGAAAAAAAAAAAAACTAATTTTGTACATTGGGCATTCTCTTCATCTGATAGTGTAACAGTGGGCAAAGCAATACGCTCTTATGCTTTGACAACGTATGGGTTGTCTTCTACCATTGATAAGTACTCATTTTGATTCACGCAAAGAGATTTAGAGTGTGCCCCTACGTGCAACATGTGATGAACTCTCACACTCTTGGTCAGTGTATCAATTGCCAAAGGCCATGTGTTGGTGATTGCATTACATTTTTTAAGTTTTTCATCATAACAGAGTTCAGACATAAACAAAATGATAAGACTGAGCATGAGACTGCCTTTTGCATGCTGATAGGTGTTTTTCCAGGGGTAGAAGTCTGTAATGGAAGAGGCAAGGAATAGGAATGTGTAGGGAGTGGGGCAGGCAAAGTTGGATGACGGTGTGCTGTTCAGATAGGAAACAGAATCCCTCTTGTAGCAGCCAGAGCGGGGAGAGCGTAGCACTGCTCCTAGTGCTGCTGTTTCCTTCGCTTCCGGGGCGGTCTGTCACCTGCAGTGACCTAAGAGCTACACGGCATCCTGCCATGGAAGTTTATAAACTCACCAGGAACTTGCTCTGGTAGTACACTCATGCACGGGAAATAATGTCGACCTTTTATTTTACCACCACGGTTTCTATACTGAGAAAAATTACTTATTAAACACTTAGGGCTGCTATCAACAGGAAATACTGATTAAATTACATGTTTTAAACTTTATTTGTGGTATTTGTTCAGTGAATCATCAGATTCAAGTCAAAATAATCCAGAGCACAAATTTATTCAAAGGAAAGCTTGCCTTCAGCCAGTGTTACTACTGGTTATCTTTGTCTTTTAAACACTCTGGCATATATACCAGCTCTAACAGTCTGTTTGGGGTTTACATTGAGTTAAAATGCAATACACTAAGAGTGTGCATGTGTGTATGTTTTAAGATTTATTTATTTTCATTGGAAATGAGCATTTACAGAGGAGAGTCAAAGATCTTCCATCCGCTGGTTCACTCCCCGAATGGCTACAATAGCCACACCTGAGCCAAGTCAGGCAGCTCTGAAGCCAGCAACCAGAAGCTTTTAGGTCTCCCACGTGGGTGCAGATACCCAAGACTTTGGGCCGTCCTCCACTGCTTTCCCAGGCCACAAGCAGGGAGCTGGATGGGAAGTGGAGCAGCCAGAACACAGACTGGCACCCAAATGGGATGCCTGCACATGCAAGGTAAGGATTAAGCCATTAAGGCATCACGCCAAGCATGCAAAGTGGTTTTTAAGATTACTACTTTGGGGCCCGGCGTGGTGGCGCAGTACTTAAGATCCTCACCTTGCACGCCCAGAATCCCATATGGGCGCCATTTCTAATCCTGGCAGCTCTACTTCCCATTCAGCTCCCTGCCTGTGGCCCGGGAAAGCAGCTGAGGACAGCCCAAAGCTTTGGGACCCTGCACCTGCGAGGGGGAGACGGAAGAGGCTCCTGGCTTCGGATCGGCATAGCATCGGCCGTTGTGCTCACTTGGGGAGTGAATCATCGAACAGAAGATCTTCCTCTCTGTCTCTCCTCTCTGTATATCTGCCTTTCCAATAAAAATAAAATAAATCTTTAAAAAAAAAGATTACTACTTTGGCCCTAGAGGGTGGCCTAGTGGCTAAAGTCCTCACCTCGAACGCGCCAGGATCCCAGATGGATGCTGGTTCTAATCCCGGCAGCCCCATTTTCTCTCTCTCTCTCCCCTCCTCTCTGTATATCTGACTTTGTAATAAAAACAAATAAATCTTTAAAAAAACAAAGATTTATTTTTTATTTTTATTGCAGAGTCAGATATATAGAACAGGAGAGACAGAGAGGAAGATCTTCCATCCAGTGATTCACTCCCGCAATGACTTGCAATGGCCAGTGCTGTGCCAATCCGAAGCCAGGAACCAGGAGCTCTTCCTAGTCTCCCATACGGGTGAAAGGTCCCAAGACTCTGGGTCATCCTCATCTGCTTTTCTGGGCCACAGTGGGGAGCTAGATGGTAATTGAGGCTGCTGGATTAGAATTGGTGCCCATATGGGATCCCAGCACATTCAAGATGAGGACTAGCTGCTAGGCCACTGCACCATGCCCTTGTAAGAAGTTATTGATCCAACTGTGGCAATCTCTAAAGAAGGTGAGACCCAGAATGATAACAGGTAGCCGTGGGTAGAGGGCATTCGTAGAGCCAGACTCAGAGAGATTTTCTGGTTGCAAGTCAAGCTAATAGAAATTCAGGCAACGCCTTTCTTGTATGGGACAGAAAGACCACCTCAGCTTAGGTCATGAAACACAGGTTTTAAGTTTTTCTAAAAGCAGAATGCTTGATTTATAAAATAACTGCTGAATTACAATCTTTTTTTAAAGATTTATTTATTTTTATTAGAAAGGCAGATATACAGAGAGGAGGAGAGATAGAGAGGAAGATATTCCGTCCAATGATTCATTCCCCAAGTGATCGCAGTGGCCACTGCTGTGCCGATCTGAAGCCAGGAGCCAGGAACTTCCTCCAGGTCTCCCATGTGGGTATAATGTCCCAAGGCTTTGGGCCGTCCTCCACTGCTTTCCCAGGCCACAAGCAGGGAGCTGGATGGGAAGTGGAGCTGCTGGGATTAGAATGATACTCATATGGGATCCCTGTGTTTTCAAGGTGCACCGTGCCCTGAATTATATTCTCAATATCAAGATTATTTATTATGGGCTGTCAACTAAGTATCTCTTGTTTTTAAAATTACAACTTCATATGAAGCTAATTTGTGAGACCATTTTTCTTAGAAGAGTTTTCTATCTTTAAAACTAAAAATTAGGGCCTGACACAATAACCTAATGGCTAAATCCTCGCCTTGCATGTGCCAGGATCCCATATGGGTGCTCGTTTGTGTCCCGGATGCTCCACTTCCCATCTAGCTCCCTAGCTTGTAGCCTGGGAAAGCAGGTAGGACAGCTCAAAGCCTTGGGACCCTGCACCCAGATGGGAGACCTAGAAGAGACTGCTGGTTCCTGGCTTTGGATTGGCTCAGCTCTGGCCGTTGTGGCCTTTTGCAGAGTGAACTAGCGGATGGAAGATCTTTCTCTCTCCTTCTCTTTGTAGATCTGACTTTCCAATAAATACAAATAAACATTTTTTAAAAATCAAATTTAATTTCATTAAAAAAAAATCAAGCCCAGTCTATTAGGAATTGTTCCAGCCAGGATTTGGACTGAAAAGGAATGCAAGCTTTTTATCTTTTATTTTCCAGAGGTTTGAAATGAAAAGAACATATAGTATGCTGCTAGAAAGCATGTTATATATGCAAGGTACTCCTTTTGTATTAGCCTCAATCTCATTATTTGCCAAAGGCAACCCCCACCCAACCTGTCTCATGGTATTGATTATTGAGTGACAGAATATGTGCAGAGTTCTTTACATGTAGAAAAGACTGCACTGGTCCAGCTGCATATCACAACAGAAGTCTCATTTCATTCCCCAGCCACCTATGAGTCAGTAGTGCTCCTTCAGCTACAAGAGATAAAGGAAGCTCAGCAGGATGAAGCTCTCCAGCTGCCGAAAGACCTGGATTACTTGACTATCAAGGATGTTTCTTTGTCCCATGAAGCCCGGGAGAAGCTACACTTCACTCGCCCACAGACGGTAAGCAAACGGAGAGTGGAATAGAGCAAGTTCCAAATGAAGACCCAGTTCTTTTTACACCTGGAGGCTGTCTTGACCATATAACTGAAGAAGGTACTTCAGAAGGTTCATGGACAAATTGAATTAAGCTTATTTTGGTACAGAAACAATGGAATCTGTGCAAAATTTTTCATGAATTTGAGACCTCTCAGGTCTCTCTCTACATGATACATGTTGGTATGTCTCTGCAAGGAGTAATAGAAGCCTCATCTAATTAAATAATTGAAATTCAAAAATTGTTTGGTTATATACTTTAAACCGTGTGCTGAACTGTCAAAGCAAACTAGTCTAAATTTGGGTGGATTAAAAAGGCACATAAAGTGGGCCTGGTGCAGTAGCTTAGTGGCTACAGTCCTCACCTTGCATGTGGCGGGATCCCATATGAGCACCGGTTCTAATCCTGGCAGCTCCACTTCCCATCCAGCTCCCTGCTTGTGGCCTGGGAAAGCAGTCGAGGATGGCCCAAAGCCTTGGGCCCCTGCACCCGTGTACGAGATCTGGAAGAGGCTACTGGCTCCTGGCTTTCGATAGGCTCAGTTCCAGCCATTGCGGCCGTTTGGGAAGTGAACCAGTGAATGGAAAATCTTTCTCTCTCTGTCCTCCTCTGTCTATGTGCCTTTCCAAGAAAAATAAATAAATCTTTAAAAAGATATTTATATATAAAGGCACAGGAAATTTAAAATACACGCAATGCTTTTCAGATCACTATTTGGAAACCTTCCTAGAGTTTCCATAGCAGGAAACCCCTAGCAAGAGCGGAACCAGAGCTCCCCCCGTGCCTCATGTGTATGTGCACAATCATATGCATAAACAAAAATTATAAATCTTTTGTGTAGCTGGTTGTTGGTTTCTAATAAATGTTGTGAAGACAGAAAATCCATGACTGGGCTCAGCTCCGGCCATTGTGGCCGTTGGAGGAGTGAACCCGTGCACGGAAGATCTTTCTCCTGTCTGAAATCTGCCTTTCCAATAAAAACAAATAAACCTTTAAAAAAAAAGTTCTGGGCCCTGCACAGTAGCCTAGCACCTAAAGTCCTCTCCTTGAACACACTGGGATCCCATATGGGCACTGGTTCTAATCCTGGCGGCCCCGCTTCCCATCCAGCCCCCTGCTTGTGACCTGGGAAAGCAGTTGAGGACGACCCAGGGCCTTGGGATTCTGCATCCGCGTGGGAGACCCATAGGAGGCTCCTGGCTCCTAGCATTGCTGCCACATGGGGAATGGATCATCAGACAGAGGATCTTCGTCTCATATCTGACTTCCCCATAATAAAATAAATAAATGAATTTTTAGAAAGAAAATTTCTTTTTTTTTTTATTTAAAGAGTAGGTTTACAGAGAGAAGGAGAGACAGCAAGAGCTTGTGTCTGCTGGTTCACTCCCCAAATGGCCACAATGGCTGGAGCTGAACTGATTCATAGCCAGGATCCCTGAGCATCCTGGTGTCTCGACCCATATGATTGCAGGGTCCCAAGGACTTGGGCCATCATCTGCTTTCCCAAACCAGCAGGCAGGGAGTTGGATCAGAAGTGGAACAGTTAGGAATTGAACTGCCCCCTAGTATTTGTTCTTGTTTAATTAACGATTTATTTATTTATTTATTTCAAAGAGTTACAGAGAGAGGCTGGGGGAACAGGATTCTTCCATTCACTGATTTATTCTCACAGTGACCACAGTGGCTACAGCTGTACCAGGCAGAAGTCAACAGGAAGTACCAGGGGCTCAAACATTTGGGCCATCTTCTGCCACTTTTCCCACATGCATTAGGAGGAAGCCAGAATGGAAGTGCTACATCACCACATTGGTAGCAGTAATTCATTAAATTAAAGAACATATTTAGGACCCGGTACGGTGGCCTAGTGGCTAAAGTGCTGGCCTTGAACGTGCCGGGATCCCATATGGGCGCTAGTTCTAATCCTGGCCGCCCCGCTTCCCATCCAGCTCCCTTTTTGTGGCCTAGGAAAGCAGTCGAGGATGGCCCAAAGCCTTGGAACTCTGCACGAAGTTCCTGGCTCCTGGCTTCAGATCGGCACAGCACCGGCCGTTGTGCTCAATTGGGGAGTGAATCATCAAACGCAAGATCTTGCTCTCTGTCTCGCCTCCTCTCTGTATATCTGATTTTCCAATAAAAACAATCAAATCTTTAAAAAAAAAAATAGTATTCTTCGCAGTCATTGTAGAAACCAGTGAAATAGGCCTTACATTTTATAATCCTGTCTTTTTAGTTTGGGGATGTGTTTTTATGAATAATTATAAGCTACACTGTACTGCCCAACATGATGGCTGATAGCCAAGCCAAATTTGGCCACTTAACGTTAGCTGAATGAAATGTGAAATTTCAGCTTTGCAATGTCACTAGCTACTCTTCAAGTACCATATGTCATTAGTGACTGCCATCTTAGGCCGTGCATTAATAAGGTAGAAATGCTATAGAAAATTTCTATCATCACAAAACATTCAGTTGGTCATAGGAGTTCCCAGGCATGTAGCCTCAATTCCAACATGTGAAAATGTCTGATAAATTATGCCACAAACTCTTGGTGCCAAAACTGACATGAGTGCATTTTGTTTTTATACCCTATATAGTGCATATTCATACACTGAAATGTAAAAAATACAATACAGGAATGTTAATGGATTAAAATTTGGGGTTGGTACCCCCACACTACTGCAGATGTTGGTTTGTTGAGCACTATACCTTATTAGAAAAACGTCTGATCACAGAGATTTCAAATTAGACTGCATGCCTATAGTTGAAGAAAGATATTATAATTTTTCTTATTTTAGCAGAAAGAAAAGGTAGGCACTCTATCATCTTAGTATGTGATCTCACATAATCATTTTAAGATTCTCTGAGGTTGTTTCCCATTTGTAAAATGACATAAGTAGTAAGCACATTTCCTTTTATCTACCGGATGGTTTTGAAAGGATAGCCTAGTGGCTAAATCCTTGTCTTCCACGTGCAGGAATCCCATATGGGTGCCGGTTTGCTGCTCCACTTCCCATCCAGCTCCATGCTTGTAGCCTGGGAAAGTAGTCAAGGATGGCCCAAAGCCTTGGGAACTTGTGCCTTGGGAAACTAGGAGGAAGCTCCTGGCTACTGGCTTCAGATTGGCTCGGCTAGGCTCAAGCTGTGGCTGTTGCAGCCATTTTGGAAATGAACCAGCGGACAGAAAGTGTTTCTTCCTCCCTCTAAATGTGCTTTACTAATAAAAATATATAAATCTTTAAAGAAAGTATGTAAGTTTATTAAAAAAAAAAAAAAGATTTACTTACGGAAATATTTTATAAACTGAGCTGTGCAGGATGAAAATAGGTTTGATTTGCTGTTAATCACTTATGTCCATCTGTGGTCTTGCTTGTTAGATTGGAGCTGCTAGTCGTATACCTGGAGTGACACCTGCTGCCATTATCAATCTGCTCAGGTTTGTGAAAACTGCTCAGCAAAGACAAGTGGCCATGAACAAGTCACCAAGAACTGATGGATAAGTCTGCAATACAAACATCAAGCCTCGCTTTACAGAAGACTTCTGTCAGTACAGGAGTATAAATAGGAGACAGCTGTTTTGCACTTGTTGAAACAACTTAATTAGGTTATTGTAACTTTGCTGTTTGTTTATGAAGGGGCAGAGATTATAGTTGTGGTTTCTTTGTATCTGCAAAAAGTCATTTTAAACAATTTATACTCTTGAGAATTCTGATGTGGTCAGTCTCTGTATAACTTTGCAGTGTTTATTGAAGAGAGATGTCATGAAGCTGAAACTAAACTTGGGGAAAAAAAATCTTGCATATTTGCCTGCTCATACAGGCTTTGCCCATTACATGTACTGAATTAAAAATCTGTTCAGCCTGTTTTGAAAAATGGTAATCTTCTGCCTGGTTATACGAGGTCAGAAAGCAGTATCAAAGGGCTGTGCTTTGCCACCGTGGACATGACACCACTGGGGATGCTGCATCCAGGAGTCGGGGAGTGCTGCTTCCTGTCTTACCTGCTAATGCGCACCCTGGGGTGCCTCAGGTACTCTGGGGTCTCTACCTCGGGTGAAACCTGGATTGTGCCCCTGACCCCTGGTTTGGGTCTGACCTGGCCCTAGCTGCCAACAGCAAATGCCAAGGCATTTGAAGAATGAACAAACAGGAAAAAAGAAAAAAAATAACAATTTTAATAATAAGAAAGCAGGTCCTGGGCGCTGGTTCTAATCCTGGTGGCCCTGCTTCCCATTCGGTTCCCTGCTTGTGGTCTGGGAAAGCAGTCGAGGACGGCCCAAAGGCTTGGGACCCTGCACCCGTGTGGGAGACCTGGAAGAGGCTCCTGGCATCTGACTGGCTCAAGTTCAGCCAGTGTGGCCGCTTGGAGAGAGAAGCAGTGGGCAGAAGATCTTGCCTCACCTCCTGTATGTAAAAAAAAAAAAAAAAAAGGAAAAAGGAAAAAAAATGCAGTATCAAAGTTATGAGACGACTAGAGCTAAAATTAAAGCTACAGAATTATTGAGCTAACATAGTATGTCCATGTTGACATCAGATTTCAGTACTTAACAAAGCAAGGCGGAGACATTATAGTTCATGATAACCTTGGATAGATTTTGTGAATAGAAGAAAGAAGTTCCAAGCCTCCACTCCTAAAGTCATATCAAAGAAAAAGAAGTATTATTATTTCATTCAGTGTACATTGTATACATGTATTGAAATAGCACACTTTAGGCCGTAAGTATATACATTTTTATAATTAAAAATTTTTTTTGAATTTTGTACTTAGTAAACCTTCCCCAGTAATTGTTTTGTAAATTAATGAAAGCCTCATCAAATAGAAAAACAAGAAGGCAGCACAGTTATTGCAGGCATTTAACTATCAGGACACTGTTTCTACATTAAGTGTAATACCACAGTGGGTTTTTTGTGCTACTTAACACAAGATGGGAAATCTGATTTTAAACTTTTTTCCTGAATAATGCAAAAGAACAAAGGCTTGTGAAAGGGGTGCCTACTCGATAGGATATATCAAATATTTATGTTGTAAAGTTTCTGATACTCTTTTCCAAGTGACACTTAGATATACAAAGAAACTCTGGGGTTTAATGTTAGCCAATAGAGTAACAATGATTTCAATGAAAACTGTTTAACGAAAAACATTTGTTTTAGATTCCTTTATTGGCCTTAGAATGTGAACTTTTTAAAAATATACACTGTTGCCACTAGCCAGGAGTGCTACGGAATATGGTCCCCTAGGAAAAAAGAGCTAAGAATATGATCTTACACAATCCATTTACTTCGTGGAAATCCCCCGTCATTAACAACAGTCTGATTCCAGCAGAAACTGCTCACACTTCTGATGTCCTGGGCTCACCACAGGCCATGCCAGCCAGCTGGAGAAGCCGGGGCCAAAGGTCATCTCAACAGGAACACCAACGCTGAAACGGGGAAATGACCAGGAACATTGTGAAATAGTTGGGGGAGGAAAATGTGGGTATGACTGACGAAGGCTAAACTAAACCATCACCATCTTGATTATGAAATTCCTTTAGAGCAGAGAGCTTGAATTTTATAACTTGTTGTTTTAAAAATATGATGTCACTTTGAGTTGCAACCTAGATGGAAATGATGGTGGCTTGTCCACTTAAAAAATTTCGGTTCCTGGGGCCCTGTGCAGTGGCCTAGCAGCTGAAGTCCTCACCTTGAACACACCTGGATCCCATATGAGCGCCGGTTCTAATCCCAGCAGCCCTGCTTCCCTTCCAGCTCCCTGCTTGTGGCCTGGGAAAGCAGTGGAGGACGGCCCAAAGCCTTGGGACCCTGTACCTGCGTGGGAGACCAGAAGAAGTTCCTGGTTGCTGGTCTGATTGGCTCAGCTCCAGCTGTTGCGGCCACTTGGGGAGTGAATTAGTGGATGGTAGTTCTCCCTCTCTTTTCCTCCTCTTTGTATATCTGACTTTCCAATTAAAATATATATATATTTTTAAGTATTTATTAGAAAGTCAGATTTACACAGAGGAGAGGCAGAAAAATCTTCTGTCTGCTGGTTCATCCCCCTAGCAACCACAATGGCCACAGCCAAACTGATCTGATGCCAGGAGCCTCCTCCAGGTCTTTCATGTGGGTACAGGGTCCCAAGGCTTTAGGCCGTCCTCCACGGCTTTCCCGGGCCACCAGCAGGGAGCTGGATGGGAAGTGAAGCAGCCAGGACACAAACCAGCACCCATATAGCAGCCCAGTGCATTCAAGGTAAGGATTTAGCCATTAGACTATTGAGCAGGGTCCATCCCACTCTATCCATTCATCAGATAATGACATCTTAGTTGGTTCTGCATTTTGGCTCTTTTGACCAGTGCTGCTGTGTTACGTTTCTGTCTTGAGGTATATACCAGTAGTAGGATTGCTGGATCATATAGCAGCTCCATTTCTAGTTTTCCAAGAAACCTCCATATTGTTTTCACAATGGTTACACTAATTTGCACTGCTACCAACAGTATGTTAAAGTTCCCTTTTTTCCACATGCTTGCTAGCATTTGCTATTCTCTGTCGTTTGAATACCAGGCACTCTTATGCAATGAGTTGGTATCTCAAAGTGGTTTTGGTTTGTATATCCTTGCATTCTTCTTGAAAATTTTTTTTTATCTCTTGGAAAACAAACAAAAAGTCCTCTTGAGTGTGGGCAATACGGTACCTGTAGATAGCCACTTCCTGACTGCAGCCAAGACACACCTACAAGGCAGCAGTGATCCAGTGACTGAGGGCCTGCCACCCACGTGGAAGAACCAGATGGAGTTCCCCGCTGCGGCTTTAGCTCTGCCCAGGTCATAGATTGCTGGCATTTGGGATGTGGCTGCTTTGCTTGTGTCTCAAATTTAAAAAAAAAAAAATTTTTTTTTAGTGTTTGTGAACTAAGTATCAAGAAGTACATACCAATTTTCTTTCTTTTCACTTTATTTGAGAGGCCAAACGAGAGAGGGAGACAGCAAGCTCCTGTCTAGTGGTTCATTCCTCAAATGCCTGTGATATGTGGGAAGCAGAAGAGACATGCCAGAAACTCAGCTCAGGTCTCCAGTGTGTGTGGCAGAGCCCCAAACACTTGGGCTGTGCTCCGCTACTTTCCCAGGCTATTAGCAAGGAGCTGAACGGGAAGTGAGCAGCCAGGACTGTAACCAACGCACACATGGGATGCCAGTGCTACCAGTTGTTGTTTAACTTACTATGCCACAATTTCAGCTCCCATGTGAAGTCTCAACTGCTGCACCAAACACCTGCTGCTGGTAGAGACATGTTCAAGTAAACCAGAACAGCTAAGAAAGATCAAGAAGAAACAGATTATATTTTATATAAGTATTAAATTCTGTTAGCTTTCTGCAAGTGATACAGGAAGTTCTTTCTCTCACAGGAGACCAACAGAAACTTCCTCTTACTAAACATCAGAAATTTATCACATGTTGCCTTAAGGAAGACAGTCCTGCTGGCTGCCAGCCTGCATCCCGTGTCAGAGCTCCCGACTCCAGCTTCCTCGTGTGCAGCCCCTGGGAGGCAGGATGCAATAGGTCAGGTGACCGGATTCCTTTCCCAGCAAGCGGAAGATTCAGATTGAGCTCAGGATTCTTAGCCCGGGCATGGGAATGAGCCATTCACTTCTCTCAAATCAGAAGAAAAAAATACCACCTTATAGTAAGCACATTCTTATGAGCCAGCTACAAAAATAGATTTGTTACCCTTGTGAAACTTTTTTTTTTTAAAGATTTATTTATTTATTGGAAAGTCAGATATACAGAGAGGAGGAGAGACACAGAGGAATATCTTCCATCTGATGGTTCACTCCCCAAGTGACCACAACGGCTGAACCCATCAAGAGCCAGGAGCCTCTTTCAGGTGTCCCATGCAGGTTCAGGGTCCCAAGGCTTTGGGCCTTCCTCCACTGCTTTCCCAGGCCACAAGCAGGGAGCTGGATAGGAAGTGGAGCTGCCGGGATTAGAACCGGCTCCCATATAGGATCCCAGCATATTCAAGGCAAAGACTTGAGCCACTATGCTATCACACTGGGCCCGTGATAGTTATTCTTGATCTAAAAACAAGGGGATCAGGACTTAGATATATATAACTTGTCTGTTATAACGCTACTGGTTGTCTGCTGCCCTCTTCTGTACAGAGAATTGAGAATTGGTTCACTCTCGCCCTCTGCAGCCCTCAGAGTGAAACAAACCTCTGAGTTTGAACTAGTCTTGGTAATTTCCATTCCCTCAGTATTTGGGCCAAGCCCGAGACTGGGATGCATACTGACCTGATGAGTTGTGTTGGAGTGTTCTGGATGACTACCTTTGCCTTCAGAAAAGTTAACTTTTTTGCAAGGTGGTGAAAATGTACTGAAATTAAATATGGCAATAGCTGCAAAGCCGTGATATTAAAAATCATTGAAGTGTACACTCTACAAGGCAGCAGGTGATGACTCAGTACCTGGGTCATTGCCAGCCACACGGGAGACCCTGCTCAAGTTCCGGGCTCCTGCCTTCGGCTTGGCCAAGCCCTACATGGTCCAAGTTTTTGGGGAAAGAATGCCTCACTCTCTCTGCATTACAAATAAATTATTTCTTTAAAAAATTTAATGGTATGGGCCCGGCGGCGTGGCCTAGCGGCTAAAGTCCTCGCCTTGAACGCGCCAGGATCCCATATGGGTGATGGTTCTAATCCCGGCAGCTCCCCTTCCCATCCAGCTCCCTGCTTGTGGCTTGGGAAAGCAGTGGAGGACGGCCCAAGGCTTTGGGACCCTGCACCCGCGTGGGATACCTGGAAGA